TTCTCAATCAAGAACTGCTCGGTGATTTTTAGGCCATTCTGTATATACAGTAAAACCTCTATATGTGAACACCCCTCCTTAATGAACACCTCGCTATTACGAACGCTTCTAGCCGGTCCCAAAAATCGATTTTTGCTGGAAATAGACCTCTCCTTTATGAACACCTTCTTATTATGAACGCTTTTTACTGGTCCCGAAGGTGTTCAGATTAGAGAGGTTTTACTGTAGTTATATTTTCTTGTGTAACAGTCAAATTTTAGTAGTTCTTTTACGGTGTGAGAAATGCAAAATCAAAGCAGAATTTTTTTTTACATATGGTTTGATACAACGTTACGAGCAGGTCAAGAATTTTTTTATTTTTTTATTTTTTTCTAAATGAGTTTTTAGAAGAAAAAATTTCTGTTTTTTCCAATGATCTACTTTTTCTGAAAAAGTGGTCAGATTTAGATAAGTGACAAACTCTCAATTTCTTTTATTTCTTTTTAAATTTCAAAACTGTTTGATTGAGATTTAGTATGGAAAATTGAATGTAAAAAAATCATTTATAAATGATTTTCTTACATTCAATTTTCCATACTAAATCTCAATCAAACAGTTTTGAAATTTAAAAAGAAATAAAAGAAATTGAGAATTTGTCACTTATCTAAATCTGACCACTTTTTCAGAAAAAGTAGATCATCGGGAAAAGCAGAAACATTTTTTTCTAAAAACTCATTTGAAAAAGAATAACAATGTATGTATTTTTGATCAGCTCATCACACTCTATCTAACTATGTGTAAAAAAATTCTACTTTAATTTTGCATTTCCGACACTTTACAGACATTCTATTTGTAATTATTTAAGAGTAGGTTATTACTACGAATGAAGATTGAGGTGTAGAAACCAATAAAAGAAAAGGAAAGTTTTTTTTAGCTGTTTTTTTTCTTGTTTTTATAAATTAATGATAAAATAATAAACATAATCTCATGTATGAATAAGTGCAATAACATGCATGTACGATTTGATTGAATTTAAAACCAATTCAATTATTCTACATCAAACTATTTTTCAAGATGCTTATTTAACATCAGCAAAGTAACTTTAATTTTTTTTTCCCTATTGTTTCTTATAGAAGATAAGATTTTTCTGTCGAATAAAATTATTTTGAATAGTTCAAATAGAAATTTATTTTAAATATTCAATTATTTTGAATTAAGGTCTATTGTTTCTTCGATCATTTCATTATAGACCATCGAGAGTATGAATAAAAGAGAAAAAAAGGAATGCGTCTTTCACATTCAATTAGCTCTACGGTCATCGCTTTCATTTCGATAATAATAAGTTCTCTTGTTCATTTTCAAATCTATTCATTCTATTGCTTTGCACTTAAATACGCCTTTTTCCTTTTTCCATGTCAATTTCTTCTTTTAAAGCTGTTTCCGATCAGGTAGACCAATGACAGCTTGTCATACAAGCTATCACTGAAGAAAAAGAACGAGTTTAAATAATTCTATATATTGCAAAACTAAGATTTACTCTAAAAAAATAATCTCAACATTTACATTCAATTTTTTTCCTCTATTATAATTGCATTTTAGATGTCCTTCAGAAAAAAAAGCCAAAACAAAAATTCTTATTTACCAAAAGAATAAAACTCCCTATTTAATATTAGTAATAGCTTAAGGCTAATCATATATTTTCTCAATTGTTCATTCACATTATTTTACAAAAAAATATTCAATTGAAAAATAAAGATGCATGATATATAGAAAGACAAATAGATAAATGAGTGGCTCATAAATAAAAAAAATCGAAGATCAAGGGATGCAATAAAAACAACAGATTTTTTTCAATTGAAAAATAAATGCCAAAAACAACTACTTAACATGTTCAATTGCTTATTTATTCATTTATGCATAGAATGACATTATATTTCTATTATCTCGAAACTTGTATAAGTGAAAACAAATTATGTTTTTTCTTACATATATGAAGCATATATAAAGTAAGAAGAAAAAAATATTTAGCTGCTTTATTAACGAGATTAACGATAAAACTATCCGACTATATTGCCTACGTACATTTGGCATTTAGAGCAGGAAAAAGAAAAAGAAAAATCATCGATATAAATGCTAATCATGTTGAAAGAAAGAGCTTTTACACCTCAATATTTGACGTCTAGTGTATTTGAGTTTTTTTTTCCTAGTCGATCGACAAAAAAAAGAGATTCATTGTTTCCCTACAGCTAATATCTCAACATTAGAAATTCAATGGAAAAGAGGAAGAGTAATGAAAAAAGAGGAA